TTTTAATAAACCTTATGAATGTAGATATTGTAGTGAAATCTCATACACAGCAGTTACTTATATGATAGCTCCTACTTTCAAAATCGGTGGTAGTTTAAGAAAATTTGAATTATGGAGTAATTAAATAAATGCAAAGGAATGTCGAATTATTGAAGTTGGCTGTCATGATATATTTGTAAAGGGAGTAAAAATAATTATCGAGATGCCCAAGTAACTTTGTGGTAAACCAAAATATGTTAACAAGGTTGTGTGCTTGTTTAAACTTCCTTCTAATGAAGTGTTAGCAAACTTCTCAGTTAGATGTAATGACTATTTATTTGAATCCGTTAATTAGTTGAAATGGATAAAACTAAAGCTCTACAGATGTCCTCTTTTTCAGTAATTGGAATTAAATGTGTAAGACTTTAGTGGCTTGAGTTTTAAAGAAAAATTATTTTCCTTCGACCTTTGTTTCTGTATTCTTAATTAATTCATCAACTGGGCCACCCACGTGTAGTCTGCAATAATGACCTTTCTCAAAAGTCGCCAGTTTTGTGACTGAATGTAAATCTGTTAAACATCTAACATTTTAGTTGACAGAGAAATATGTGGTCATTTAAAAATACAAAACTTGATTCTTAATGCTTTTGCTAGAACGATGTGATTGATGAGATATCATTGTGTTGCTTTCACAGATCATCCGAAACACGTGAAAATATTTGAGGAAATATTTTAAAAATAACTTATAAAAATAAGATAACATGTTGATCTTCTTATGTTTTAAAATGTGATTGGTGCTTTTTTCTGTTCCCTATTAACTTTTTATTGCATTAAAGAGGAATTTTCAGGAAAAAAGCGCAGACTGCTGCAGTTGCAAAAGTTCATTTTCATTTGGTAAGGAGTTGATAACAACTGAATCAAATAAAGATGCTTATCAGGAGCAAGAATTGCTGTGAAACTTCGGTCTAAAGCAAAAAGAAGCTAAAAGAATAAAGTCTGTTCAATAATAAAACTTTAACTGCATACGTAATTCCACTGGTCATTAACACCAGTGCTTTTATTTATAAGAACAGCTTTCACAAAGGCTAATTTGATGTTCTAATGCTCATATATTTGGCACCAATTTTCTTCACTTTTTATATCTATGTGTATTACAGAAGAATTCTTTTTATATATAAATATAAAAAGAGCAACAGGATTCCCTCAGAGCATAATACTGTCTGCCTTACTTTTATTAAAGGAGATCTGTTTTTTGTCAAGAAGACATTTTTGTCTCAGATAAATGGTTCAGGCTGAGCGCAAGGCTGTTTTGAGTTTATGCTGGATTCTATTAAAAGGAGTGCAGTAGTTAATGCCACAGATTTATCACTTTTAGCCCTTTTCCACTGATGTTTGACCTTAGCTATAAGTTGGGGGAGGCTAATTGGGGGGGTCGGTATGGAGGGGGCTGGTTTTTGTGCATGCGAACCGGAGCGCACGCTGCACTAACTTCAGCTATTTAAATCATTGGAGATCTTAATAAGTATACGTACAAAGATCTCTATGTTATGTAATAGTCATATTTATAAATATTGCCAAACCTATTTGTTTTTATGATGATGGGATTACTCTTTCTTAATTTTATTAAAGAGTAGGACCTGCTTGATTAGATTTGTGTCCATTTTTATTTGTGTTACTTTCATGTTTTATTTAAAAACATGTCTCCACTGGGATAAGTGGTGTAATTTGCCTTTAAAGATTAAAATAATTGAAGTCATAATTACTAGTGGCTTCTGTTCAGCAGTATGGAAAATACAACGAATGAAGAAAAATACGGCACAGGAGAAAAAAAGCTTCGGCTTCAGCTATCTCTTGCCCTCAAAGCAAGCACTATTTTCTGACAGGGAATGTAATGATCCCCTAGGTGTTTTGTCTGGTTCTCTTTTAGAGTAAGATAAAGAGGACTTGATTCATCTTCGGTCAGCTACAGTGTTCTGTTGAACTTTAGTGGGGCTGGCTTGCGCGAGCTGCAGCGCTGGCTCAGCGCCTCCAGCTTCGGACTCCGTCGGCCGGGCAGCCTTGTCGAAAATCGTGTTGCAGCTCTCTTGGTAGGACACCGGGCATCAGAAACAGGCTGAGTGCACGTTTACAAGGCCATCTTGGTAGAAGACCTTAGCGCTTGGTTCTTGGTTGTTTTTCTTAAAATGGTGTGTCTGTTTGTAGCGGTGGGGAACTCTGCAAGGAAGATACTTGAGCATCCTTGTGAACCTCGGTGGCTGTGCAATTATAAGAGTAAAGCTAAGATTTATGAACCTTTTTCAATGAGAGACTTTGTAAGGTCTTTTAATAGTGGAGTGGTTAGAGGCCGCTACCTTGGAGAAGGAAGCCTATTTGGGATGAAAAAAATTGCAGCCTCGGGATTCCTGTGGGCTTTGTCTGCCCTGTGTGTCGGGAAGCTGAACGAGCTGCTTCCTTCGAGCTTTTTGACAGCGCTCGCATGCATTATTAGGCAATTTGTACCACTGTTCTGACTTCCAAGAAGAATTTCCAACTCCGCTCTTTTCAGCGGTAAGAAACCCCAAAGTGGTCGAAAGGAAGCAGTTGTACAGTGTCAGTACTGATTTCATGTGCCGTTTGTTAGCCTGCAGACGTTGTTCTCTCCAGCACCTTTGCGGATAGCGTCTTCCACTTCAGCCTTTGCAAGAAGTGGTTTCTCAAATTTGTGAGGCCTGCGTGGCTGAGGCCTTCTTCGTTACTGTACAGCTCCGGTCTCCATCCTTGTCTGCACAAAATCTGTGCTATCTGATCTATCCAAATTTATGTAAACCCTGTTGTACTGAGGCAGTTACCCATTTAAAGATCTCCAATACAGAAAATAATGTATTCCACTATAAAGCACCTTGCGTTATATCAGCATAATTTTGTTTGCTGTAAGCTGCATACAAGGATGAAAATCATACTATGATTTTAGAGCTATGCAAGCTCTGAGTTGGCATGTGAACCGGGCTTTTGTTTTGTGGCAGGTTTGGAAAGGACATTTCCAAAGGGGCTCTTCTTTGGTTGATGGTGTAGTTAAGTCAACTGCTGTAATTCCTTTGATTTTTTTTTCCTTCCTTTGTAGTGTTGAAATTGTAAAAAATGATGTATGCTTTCCCCAGCTGTCCACTGCAAAAGTGCAGGGGAAGGACATGACAATTGTGCAGTACAGCCTGAAGATTTAAATACGAGTTGGTGATTTAGAAAAAGTGCTTCCTTTCTTGTCTGTTCCACAAGGATTTATATTTTCATGTTGATTTAGAAAAGATTAAGAACTTTTTTTCAACTTCATCTTACCTTGCACAAGCAAGCGTGTTTCCATGCGTGTGTTTCACAAGCGTTTCCGCTCTGCGGCCCCGGCGGGTAGGCAGTGACAGTGGGCGTCAGGAAAGGAGGTGGTGTGGCACCACTACAGCCTGGGTTTCAGATTCTCCGCTATCCAAGGATTTCCATATTTTTGAGTAATGAAGGTGTTTTTGTGGGTTTTTAATTTTTTTTTTTTTTTTTAATTTGGCTAATGCAGGAGACTAACATATTTTAGTCTGTGTCTGACAGCTCTGCATGAGCCAGGCTTGGTGGCAGGCGAGGGTTTTCAGGATCCACAAGCTCACAGTTGCTTTTCTTTCTTGATTGGATGTTATGCTGCTGAGTTCTTCTTCCTTGTATTTCTATCACAAACAATGGGCTTGTGTAACAGCCAAAATAAGGACTCGTTTGCTATATCTGAAAATCAGCTTTTACAGTGAAAAGTGAAGATTTTAAAAAAAACTCGTTTCAGATTAAACACAAAGGTTGTTTTTCCAGGGAGATAATTTTAAGCAGTGATTAAAAAAAAAAAACCAAAAAAAACCCCCAACAACCAAACCAACATTTTAAAGCATGGAAACAGTTAGCATAGCATACAAATAATAGATTTGGGCTTTATTTTATGCTCAAATTGGTATGTCTGAGGTGTTTCACGATTTTTAGTGTTGTGAAATTTTTTCTTTGTATCGTATTTCCAGAGGAAAAATATTTCAAGGTTGTCTCTACCATCCAGAGTATTCCTTGGCTGTTGAATAGGGTTTTATGTGGCAGGGATGATTACAGTTGTGCTTTTATCATTAGGTTAAAAAAAAAAAAAAGGCACATGCTGAATTAATCCAGTTTACAGTCTGTAGAAGATGATGCATGTGAAATATGCTATATAACTGGTTTTAGGCATGATTTAGATACTGTTGATACCTACACGTTTCGAGACTAAACTTTTTTGTTTAACAGACTAGATTTTAAAAAACCTTCTATTTCTTTTGTAAAGCTGGTTTACGATGTTACTTTATCGTTATCGTGTATCTTTAATTAGAGCAAAATGTTTAGGATAAGACCAAGTTACCTAAAAGTGGAAGCTGTGAAAAGATGATGTATAGGAGTTATTTAGTGCCGTTTATATGGGCTGAGAAAAGAACAGTGTTTCTTTGAAAAGCTCTTAGGAAGATCTCCAGACCCTTTGGTTAGTGGTTCTGGAATAAGCACGAAATGCTGACAACGGAAAGCAAAACCATAATTGTGCTTATGTGACAGTGCCAAGTAATTTGAACATTTAAAGTAAGTCAGGCGCAGGCCTCTTCATCCATATTACGTGACTTCTTTAAACATTTAAAGATGATTTCTCTTTTTGAAGCATAAAAATATCTTCAAATTATTCTGATATCTGTTAGGAATAGGAAGTATTAAAAACCTTTCAGATTATTTTGGACGCGGCAGACAAATTATTCTGAACTTGAAATGGGAAATTTTGCACTATCTTATTAAGAAGGTGGTTTTTGCTTACCACAGAAGCCCTTTTATTACGTCCTTTTCTGACAGATCTTTCTCATTGTTTTACTTAATTTAGTCTTTAACATGATGTAACCAAGGAATGAAATACTTTTACAGCTCTTGCATATGGTTTGTCCACACTTCTTTTGGTTCTCTTCTATAAATCTAAGAATATCTTTTCCTTTTCCTACAGTCAGACATTGGTAATACCGTGTCCTTTTGGAGGTCCTTTTGTATGTCTTCACAGGCACCTTTAGTTTGGACTGGCCCGAGTAGTTTTATCAACTTCAAGCAGCCTTTCGTTTAAAACCCCAAAAGCTCATCTTTCGGCCCTTCCTCCAGAAGGTGTTGTGCAACACAGATCTCGGTCCAGATATTTCCTTTTCTACTTTTCCCTCTGTTGTGAACACTCTCTCCTGCCTTTTAATTGCTTTTTTGTTCACAAGAAGGTGTTTTATGACGGCAGGATTTTTTTTTTTTAAGGGGTTTTGCTTAAGGACCTTTGTAACACTGTTGTTTAATGTCCATTGAGGCAATTTCAAGATGGAGAAAATTCTTGTTAGCTGCATATCTCGCAATGCAGCTGCTTCCGTACACACTCCCAGTCCTTAGCACTTCTTGTGTCGTTTGGAAATCCAGATGCCTCAAGTCCGTCCCCAGTTACTAGCAGGATGCAAGCTGTAGTGTTCCTACCTATTTAACTGGTGGAAAGCAAACGCACTTTCTTTGACTGGGTTTTTGGTCTGTCCTTCCACTCGTTTGCCATGTATACTTTGAATCCTTCCAAAGAAAATACTGATTTGTGTAATGGTTAAATATTCCCTTTTCTTTGACAAACTCTGTGCTCTTATTTTTCTTTCTCTTACGTGATTTTTGTTACTGCTTAGAGAAAACCATGCGGTGTTTACAGTTACAGAACTGTGTGTGCTCCTCGGCGTAATTACACCGCTCCTCCTGACGCTAGTCCAACTGCCCGCTGCTGCTGAGTCTGGTGGAATGAGAGCTCCTGTCCACAGGAGACCCGCATGAGGAGGAGAGCTCCTGTCACAGCCTTACGAGTGACAGGCCCTCGCGATTGTAGACATGCGGAGAGGTCACAACCCTTGCTTCAGCCAACGGCAGTGGAAACCCTCAGTGTCGCTGCCTGGCACGCTGCATACAGACGTCTTTTGTAATGAGCTTCTATGCAGCCATTTATGTAGCAAAACAGTAATATTTTTCCATTTTGCCTTATTTGAATAGGATAAATAAATAGAGAATCCAGGTATAAAGTGCACGATCCTTTCTAGTTCATAGTAGCTTAGTTGAGTGTGTCTCATGTCTCTCTGAAACACTTAAAGAAAATTGTTAGTTCACATGCAGTTATATTTCTAATTCATACCGCTGGGTATATCTTACTGGATATATCTTACTTACAGGAACTGTTTTATAAGTTGGTGTTTTCTCTTAGGTGTATTTTTACTTCCTAACCCTCCTTTGTCTCTGTTACTATTGTGCAGGTACTTGTCAGTGAGGACTCTGATAGCGATGGCATTGTGGCCCACTTCCCTGCACATGAAAAGCCTATTTGCTGCATGGCTTTTAACCCTAGCGGTAAGTTATTTTACTGCTTTAATGTGATAGTTGTAAACGAGATGAACACAGTAAAATATCATAGGTGTGTGTTCCATTGCTTTGGAGGAATTGCAAATACCGTTGTGATGTGTGCAAGTACCTGCTCACTGCTACTGGGACTTTTGACCTGCTCTGCTGAGTGTTGAATGTGTCATACACCGGTTAATTTGTCTTTTCTGGAAATGTCAAACTTAAGCAACTGTTCTACTATGTTATATGTGAGAAGATTCAGTCTACCACTTCGAATGCAGCAGGAGTACTAAGGAATTCTTTTCTGTTGGGTATCCTGCCAGCCAGGTATCCAGATGTTCTGATATGCAGGTATCCAGAGGATCAGCACATGTATTAAATTGTACTCCTCCATAAATACGGAAATAAAACGAATCGTTTCACTGGCACTGTTTTTTAAAGTAACTTACACTGCCATTATGTGTTTTGTTGATGAAGAGTGTGTGATTCTACCCTTTCTCCTGAGTGACATCAACTATTATCTGAAAATACTAAGAAACACCTCAAAAATACCTATTCCTCTCCTTTCTCTTTATAAATGAACAATGACTGTGGGCAGCAGAGATAACTACAAATCTTGTCTGTTAGTAAATCTTAGTAATTTGACAATTAACATGTTTAGTACTCTATAGACAGAAAAAAAAAAAGTCTTGGTTGATTGCAGTAGTAGTCAGAGAAATGGCCAGCGAATCAACAGCTTCCACTTGCCTAAATTAACCGTTTCTAAAATGTAGCAAATGCCACGAAGATCTTGAGGATGAAGTCACGTTTCAAAGAATAAAACGAAATGTCTGTCACTTATGTTTTCATTTTTACTGACCAGTTGGTCTTATTCTGACATCCCATCTGGTATGTCAGAACTCTTTAATAGTGGTGTGCAGTTCACAGCATTTTCACTGTGAGTTTTTGACATAAAAAACTGTATTCTCATTTGGCTGAATTTTCTTCTGATACTTAAGAGACTTTTTTGTGGAACCCTGTGCATTTAACTGAGAATCAACTATGCCAATTCCAGAACAGTAATATTTTTGCTTCGTACTCTGGTAGAAAGATAATACCTAGAGTTGAGCAATGCTAATTAAGTGAAATAAATACAGCTGCTTACATTAGAATGCTTTATAGATACTAATGCAATGCCTCCTTAAGATAATTTTTATGATTGTCTAAATTTCAGGGAAACGGAATGTTTATGCAAAAGCAAATTAACTTGTTATTTTTTAAACTGAAGGATATATTTGCATATTATTGGATTACTTGTATTCGAGTTCTTTTGGTTTGCGCAGGTACTAAAATTACAATCCTTTGTATATGATCTAGCAGACTGTTACCTTAGATCTAATGGCGCAATAAGATACTACTTATTCTAATTGGTGTAATATTTGACTGATTGCAAATTATGTATGTCATGAGATATTTGCAGGAGGGACGATTCACAGCAAGGTATTGAAGCGTAGCACATGTTCTGGGTACAGAGCAATATCAAACCCGTTGAAAACTATCACCTCAGCTGCCTACAGTATGAAAGCAGCACTTAACACGGGATTCTGTATTCTTTATTTAACATCAAGGCAGAATTTTGTTTGAAGCCAGTGTTGCAAGTAACAGCATCTTAATCCATTATATAGTGGTACATTGCCAGTCCAGCTGATCTCATTACAAAGCTGAACAAGAGGTGGCTTTTGATACTGCCTTCGTCTGTTGGCTGGTTGTAGCGAAAAACAAAAAACGCTTTTACTCGTAATTTCAAGCAGTGTCTGCGATGCTGCGCTAGAACATAGCAACTGCAAACTTTTGCTACGAAGGCAAACGGGGAACACTGATCTGTTTCCATGAACTATTTCATTCTCTATGGCTGATCAAATAGCTTAATTTCATCATGTGTCATCCCAAGGGCCCATGAGCTCCACAGGTATTCGGGGCTGTAAAAACTTACAGGACTGTGTTTGAAAAAAATCTAAAACAAAGCCACCACTGACGCTGGAAACTACCGAAGGTCAATGGATATGGGAGATGGGTATATATGATTTTTGCGTAGGAAACCGGTAGAACAGTGTCACAGCCACTTTAAGCTGTATTTTAAAGGTATCAGTTGCCAGTAAGACATATTTTGGGGGTTTCTGCTGTTTATATTTTCATACTGAACAAGGAGCTTTCTAGGGAGAAGTTAATTGTGATAAAATAACAGCACAGAATTTATGGGTATCGTTGTGAGAATAGCTCCTGGTAATATATTGCTTCGCTGTAGGATTATCAGAAAACAATCCAATGGGAAGGAAAGAGACTCACTAATGTCAGTAAATGGCAGTCGTATATTTTCCCTAATCTTTCTTTTTGAAACCAAGAAGCCCTTTACTGCACTTACACTGTCCAAGATATGTTACGTTGTTCTGGGCCTGACTGAAAGGCTGTTGCAAACTATGGCAGGACTCTTGCTGATGGGTATCTTTTTTTTTGGTGTGTGGTATTTTTTTTTTTTTTTTTGCTGTGCTTTTGAGGCTGGGGGTTGTTTTTTCCTCCCAGCAAGGTAAATAATCTACGTGGAGATCCGAGCTGGGTTAGTTGGCAAGGAGAGCTTGCTACACGCAGCCTTCTACAGCGGCTGCGTCACAAGGCAAAATCGTGACAGAACAAGCAGGGGTGTCTCTGCGTAGCATTTCATTGTGCTGCGTAGGCATTTCTATAGTGACTTTTGCTGGCGTTAGATCTACCTTTTGGTTAAATTCAAGGCAAATCTGTTGAGTTTTTTTCTTTTCCCATTTCGAGGTATTTGAAGGAGGAAGAAACTTGGCATACAGTTTGCTTTTTTGGTATTAGATCTATGCCTACTCTGAAAATCTGGTTGAATAATAAAATAACAAACTTGAAATATGATTTCTGAGTATACTTAGAAGGCACCATAGTTTTTTGGTTTTTTTTTTAATGCTGCCTAGCATGTCCCTGTTTACCTCTTCCAGACCCTTATGTTAATAAAAGCTTGCTTCTGAGTCAGTTGATTTTAGGGAGACTGTAAAAGTCTCAGTCTAAGACATATAGCAAATCATGTTTAGCATTAGAAAAGAAAAAAAAAAAACATAAAGGAGAAAAACTGCAGTTCCTGGTAGTTTAGTTTTTTTCTGTGTTTTTTCCTGTCTACATCAAATTTTAGTTTTCAAAAAAAGTCGTGATGGTTTACTATGGGGAGTGGGTTGCTGGTTTGGTTTTTTTGGGGGGGGTGAGGTGAGGGGGGTGAAGGGGAGGGGAGTGTTTGTATTACAGCTGAAAATTTGTGGCCAGGCATTTCATCCACAAAACCCCTTAGTCCTATGGAATTTCTAAAAGCTGGCTCCCTGCATATATTGTTATTGCCTCTGTGTTTAACATTTTTCATTTTAATAGGTAAGATACGTAGTAGTTCAATAAAAGTGAAAAAGAACTGGTACTCCTTTGCCATTTGTTGCCGATTGAATCTTTGGGAAACAGAGATGAAATGCTAGCTTGGTCCTTATTCTGGTGGTAAAAATAAAAGTTATGATGTGAGTCTCCTTAATCCGTTCTGTTTGCCAGTTGTGCTGTCAGCTTTGGTGACAGTGTTTCTTCTGACCGGTGGACACACTTCCTATATAATGTTCTTGTTCTGGTTTTGGAAGTGTGCTTAATAAATCTGATTCCAAGTTTCAAGTTCAGGTGACTTGGCACTGTTACTCCTTTTCTTTTTTATTTGCTAGAATATGATTATTTCATGTGTCCTTTTCTTCCATAGGAAACCGACACAGTTTTTCTATACGCTTTATTATATGTCAAAATCATGATTCAGTTATGACTATATGACTTATGTGAAGATAAGGTGCCTCGTCTGAAGCGCTCGTGTTTTGATTTTAGACATGCATCCAAGATTGAATAAATTAAATAAATGTTGTAGTAATAATTTAGCATTGCCAAGTGCCGTGGAAGAGATGCCGTATATTAACAGGAAAGAGAGATCTGATTTTGCAGTGTATTTGCTTAATAAGTAATGCATACACATGGTATTTATTTCTTTTTTACCACAACCCCTTCCCATGGAGTGCCGCTTGCACCGCAGTATGTGGCAAGGGTACTGGCATGTAAGAGGAAGGAGCTGCGGGGCCCCGGTGCAGGTGATGACCAGAAATGGGCTCCTGCCAGCAGAATAATTCATGCAGCTTGGAAATGGCCAACAAAGTGGATGAATTTTGCAGGGAGCTGCAGCTGACAGACCGTCGACTGGGCGCTGCAGATACGCAGAGTCTTTTGAATGGCAATCACCGAATGTCTTCTGATTGTAGCGCTGGTTTGTAGTTGGTTGGGGGAAAGATAATATTCCTTGGGCCTCATCGAGAAGGATCTATGGCTCAAAAGAAAGTCCCATCTCTTAGGCAGACAGAAACCATTGCGAGGGAAATGAGCTGCGTTCTGAGAATCTTTGGTTCGTATTTGAACACCCATCTGACCGTCTGCGGAAAGCAGCTGCTGCAGGCAGTTAAAAGCACCGTGTCCCCTCTTTCATTTCTGAACAAAGGAAAGCGCCTTCTGACTTTTAGGAAGACTTTAAGCCTTTTATTAAAACTTTTCAAGATGAGAATAAATAATACAAGGAAGTGAAGTAATATTAATAGACTGGGGACTTATTAATGTACCTCTGGCATGTATATTGATGTAGTGGAAGCAAGAGGCTTATACTTACAAAGAGACTCTAAGAACAGTTACTTTAATTCGCTTATTAAATGAAAATCACATTAAGCTTTTGTGTGGATGCTTTTACTTAGTGTTAACATTGGCTTGATTTATTTTAGCTTGAGTATTCAGTTTTGGATGAGTCGAAGGCCAGCTTACCGTGGACAGAGTGTCCACACAAAAATGTAGTGCTGTTTACTAATTCACATTAGGTGACTGAGATGAATTTTTCAGATATTTTGAGATTTTTTTCAGAATTTTTCTCCTGCATCTGTGGAGATATGCTCCCAGACCGATGC